ATAGCCGAAAAAAAAAAAAAAAAAAAAAAAAAAAAAAAAAAAACCTTTAACAAAAGAGCTGGAAGCTGAGTGTGGTGGTACACGCCTGCAATCCCATCACTCAGGAGGCTGAGGCAGAAGGATCACTGTGTTTGAGGCCAGTCTGGATTACATAGTGAGTTCAAAGTCAGCTTGAACTACATAAAGAGAACCTGTCTCAAACGGGAAAGTGGTAGGGGATCTCAGTAGTAAAGCACTTGCCTAGTATAAGCAAGGGCATAGATTCAATCTGTAAAATAAAACCAAACCAAACCACATAGGTTTTTATTTTTTTTTATTTTGTTGGTACTAGGGATTGGTACTAGGATTTGGTACTAGGGCCTTCTCACTGAGCTGCATTCCCAATACTTTTTATTATTACTAAGATAGGATCTTGCTAAATTGCTCAGTTTGAGCTCAAATTTTGAGTCCTAAAAAAAAAAATTTTTTTTTCAATCCTCCTGCTTCAGCTTTCTTGAGTGCTGGAATTACTGGAATTAGTGCTGGAATTAGCCACTATGCCTGGCTAAAAACAAGCTTTTTGAATAAACTAATTAAAAAATTCCAGATTATGTCTGAGAAATTAAAGCAAAAGAAGAAAAAATGCAAAGGGGAAGCCTTTGTAAAAATACTGCAGATATAAGACAAAGTGTCTTAATATGTACATAGCTATTACAAATCTACATGAAAAGGAAAACAACAGATAAAAGGAACTAGTAGGAATAGCCAATTCATACAATGATTATACATTTCCTTCCTTCCTTCCCTCCACCCCCCCCTTTTGTACCAGGAATCGAACTCAGGACCTTGCGCTTACCAGGAAGGCAAGGTGCCACTGAGCTAAATCTTCAGCCCTACACATTTCTGATAAAAGTAAAAATTGTCCAAATTCATCATGAAAGAGGCAAATTAAAAGAATAAGATACAAAGTTTTCAACCACAGTATTATCAGAAAATAAGAATCTTTAATTAAACAGTATTGGTAATGATTATAGGAAAAGCATATTCAAATGCTACTCCTAGAAATATAAAATGGTTATAATCTGGAGAAATTTAGCAGCAGCTATAAAAACTTTAAATTTGTATGTTCTTTGATCAAGTCAGTCTACTGCTGGGAACTTGTTTTTATATAGACATTCTTACAAATATATCAAAGATATAAGTAGAAGAATACATATTCCAATACTGTTTGAAGTATTATGCAACTTAAATATCAAAAACATTAGAATGAGCTAAATGAAATTCTTTTTTTTTTAAGTCTGGAATTGAACTGAGGGCTTTGTTGAGCTATATCCCAGCCTCAATAAAAAATTTTAACATCTATATAATGAAATAAAGAATAGCTATGAGGCCTGGGGATTTAGCTCACAGGATTTAGCTCAGTGGTTCCGGCGTCTGCCTTGCAAGCAGCACAAGGACCTGAGTTTGATACCCAGTACCAAAAAAAAAAAAAAAAAAAAAAAAAGAATAGCTATGGGAATTTCTGTGTTGATACTGAAAGAAAGCTTTGTAAAAAAGGATGGCAAACAAAGTCAGAATAATGTGACTATAAAAAGTATTTGTACCCTTAGCACCAGGTATCTCTTAGGAGCTTATGAAATATCAAGAAAGGAGGCAGGTCCACTGAACCACATCTGTAATCCCAGCACTGGGGCAGGAGGATCGCTGTGAGTTCAAGACGAGCCTGGGCTACATAGTGAATTCCAGGGCAGTCTCACTACATAGTGAGACCCTGTCTCAAAAAACAAAACAAACAGACAAAAAACTTGATAATACACTTGTTGAGAAGGAAACACATGGAGGAGAGATAGTGAACCGCTAAAAAAAATTTTTTTTTTTTTAAATCAAGGTTTATGAGAAAAACCAAGAGTCACTATTGGTGACAGAAAAATGATCAGACTTTGTGGAGCCCCAGTCCTTGGTACAAAAGTATCCCTTCTCCTCAGGATCAGCTTCTGCCTGTGAATTCAGGCTGATCCCTAACTTGTAGTGGTAGACATAACACACAGTCAGCATTAACTAAAAGTTTCTTCCCTAGAAGAGAAGATTGAAACATATTTTGAAGTGCCTTTAAAAAATCTGAAAGCTCATAATATGAGTGACAAGTTCATTTTGCTGTTGTCTGTGGTGCTGAGATGAATCCAGTCATTAGAGTAAAAATAAAGACTCTGAGTGAAAACAGAGGATTTTATTTTCAGATAGCAAGTTGTTACAACATACTTAGGTTAGACAGACAGGAAAGTAAACCAAAAGTTACAATACACATGAGATACAAAGTTTATAATAATCCTCCCCTCAAATGCTGATAGCTATAGGTAGCTGGAACAATCACAGTCCTTACCTTTTGGAGGAGGTACTTCCTTTCCAGTGTAAGGGTGTAACTTTACCTTCTTCTTTCCTCGCTTAGATTGAAATACATCCTCTATTTTCAATACAAGCTGAAAGAAGACCAGGAAAATACAACTTAAAACCAACACATGGTTTGCAGCTTGATGACTTAAATTAGCAATTCAAATTTAGAGAAAAGATGTATTTTTGTTACTTTTTTCAATTTAAAATTTTAGATGATGATCTTTAGATGACATATTTTTCAAATACCGAGTGCAGTTCAAGGCCAGCCTGAACTATATAGTGAGATCCTCTACAAACAAAGTACCAAATCCATATAAGATGGGTAAGGTGACTTCTTTCCAGATGAGTCCAGCACAGCTTCTCAGGAGACTCCTTTCGTTCCAAGCCACAACATACAGGCAAGGTGGCTACTGCGCTTCCTACCGTGATCATGCCATTATTAAACACAAGTTTTCGCTTGCCCGGGGTAAGAAGGGGAATATTCACTCACTTGGAAGATAGGGTGAGGCTCAGTTATTTCTGCTCCCTGGAATTCCTCCAAAAAGAAGATAATCACACCGGGGAAGTTTTGTTGTTGTTTCATTTTTGGGTCACTGGGGATGGAAGCCAGAGCCTTTGCACTAAACTACATCCTCAGCCCCTCAGCCCTTTAAAAAAATGTTTTATTTTTCTTGAGACAGGGTCTCACTGTATAGTTTAGGCTGTTCTCTCTCTCTCTCTTTCTTTCTCTCTTTTAGATACCAGGGATTGAGCTCAGGACCTTGCGCTTTCAAGGCAGGCACAGTGCCACTAGCTAAATCCCAACTTAGGCTGGCCTTGAACTCACAGCAATACACGTACCTCAGCCTTGTAAGTGCTAGGATTTAGGCATGTGCCACCATGCTCACCTTTTATTTTTTATTTTGAGACAGGGTCTTACTAAGTCGCTCTGCTCCCCCTGCTTGCCTGGTCTCAGACTTGTGATCATCCTGCCTTAGCCTCCTAAAGTGAAATTTTGGCCAAATAAAAAAGGAGACTCTGGTTGTTGGTTTTTTTGTTTGGTTTGGTTTGGTTTTTGGTTTTTTGAGACAGGGTCTCACTATATATACTTCAGACTGTAGCCCAGACTGGTCTAGAACTCGCAGCAATCCTCCTGCCTCAGCCTCCCAAGTGCTGGGATTATAGGTGTGCACAACCACATCTGGCTAAATAGGAGACTCTTAAATATGCCCAAGTGCAAAGTATTCCTTTATACCCCTTCTACACATTTTCAAAATTAATTAAGAATTTGGGGGGCAGTACTAGGGGCTGAACCCAGGGCCTTTGCACCGAACTACATTCTCAGCCCATTTTTTTTTTCCTCATTGAGTTTATTGGTACATTCTAGGTATACAGTATAGTTACGTTCATTACTGGAATCTTGTACCTTTACATGACAGGTCTTGGTTTTCCCCTTTTCCCTGCCCTCTCTTCACCTCTCCTCCCCTCCCCTTTACAAACACTTCATTTCCATTTTTTCATTTTCTCATACTTTTTTCTTTTCCCTTATTACCCTTCCCCTACCCTTCCCACTTTCCCTACACCTTTAGCCCCTTTCTTCCTATTTCACATTGTCCATTATACCATTAGGATCTTATGTACCATTATAGTTTTTCACACCAGAGAAACTATTCGGTATTTACACATGTGTGACTTATTTATTTCACTTAGGAGTATATCCTCACTATGTATCCATTTTCCCATGAATGAATCTAATTTCTCATTCTTTATGTCTCAGCCCATTTTTTATTTAAGACAGGGTCTTGCTATGTCACTAGGCTGCCCAGGCTGGGCTCAAACTTCGATGGTCCTGCCTCACCTTCCCAGGATCCATGAATTACAGGTATACACTACCACATCCAGCTAACACCACTTATTTTTTAAATCGTTATACATCTACTTCTCCCAAAAAAGAGAAAAAGACAAAAATGAGCTAGAGACACAAAAAGAATTATAGCTGACAATAGGTACTTTTAAAACAAGGAATAGGTGGGCTGGGATTTAGCTCAGTGGTGCTGCCGCCTGCCTCGCAAGCACAAGGACCTGAGTTCAATCACCAGTACCAAAAAATAAAAAATAAAAAAGATAAGGAATAGTTATTCCATGTGTACTTTTTATTACAAGATTCCACTCTCTTTCTTCAGTATTAATCCTAATTTAACACACTTAATGCCTAGAATTATACCTGTTAAGCTCATTATATTAGATGACAATCTACAAACTTGCTTGAGAAAAAATATTCTTGCTTTCTCTTTTGTTTTTGTTTCTCTAGCAGTCCCAGCAATGAATAGGCTGTGAATCAGTCCAGTGCAAGAAAAAACATGGTAGAAACATGAGCACCTAATATGCAGATTATTCCTATATTTCTGGATGAGTTTGTTCTCTTGAAATATTTTTGTAGCTGGATTCAGGAGAAAAGTTTCCAATGGTCTTTCTTCTTTTTTCTTTCTTTTTTGACATAAAGTTGTGCTATGTAGTTCAAGCTGGCCTTAAACTAACTGCGTAGCCCAGGCTGGGCTTGAACTCATGGCAATCCTCCTACCTCAGCCTCTTAAGTGGTAGAATTACAGGTGTGTGCTACCACACCAAACTGCCAATGATCTTAAAATATTACCAATACAAAAACCAAGCATCTAAAATAAAGGTATTTTATGGGTTATAGGAAAGATATACAGAACATATATCTTTTTTGTTTTGTTTTGAGACAGGGTTTCACCATTTAGTCCAGGTTGGTCTCAAACTCACAATCCTGCCAAAACCTTCCTACTGCTGGGATTATAGGCATGCATTACTAAGTGCAAGGTCCCACATTCGATCCCCTGTACAAAAAACAAAACACAAAAAAGAAATAAAAACCCTATATAGGCATGCACTACCACAGCCAACTTAAAAATAGCATAATTTATTATGTACACTTGGAAAAGAATAATCAAAAGTATACTTAATACTATAAGGAAAGAAAACTACTGCTCTACAAATACGAGATGAAGTAAAATTTAAATTCTGATTATGAGATTGGAAGAGCCTATCTTCACTTTTTAGTTGCAAGAAATACAGTAGAATTCTCTATGAAATGGCAGAAGCCACACTACTGCATATACTTGACACAAATAATATAAAACATAAGGGAATATACTCCAGCAAACAATCCTACATAGGCTTCCAAAGCAGGAAAAGAAACGAAGGGTGGGAAAGAGGAATATGGATTAGATTAGTGATTTTCAACCTGTGAAAGGAATTTTTCCAGTCATCAGCCTCGGCAACCTAGTGACTTAAATACTAATTTTTTTTAAGTTAACCATTTTTTATTTTTTTATTTCAGTACTGGTAATTGAACTCAGAACCTTGCACTTGCCAGGCAGGTGTGGGGCCACTGAGCTAAGTCCCTGGCCCAAAAACTGATTTTCTTAGGGGATATTGTTCTTGAAAATACTTCAAAGCCAGACTACACATGGGACATCATAATAGGACTTACTCTATGAAAGGTTACTGGTAGAAATGCTAACCACCTGCTCCTGTCCAACAGTCAAGAGTTCATCACCACTTTCTTTCATTCTGTTTCTCAAAAAACCTTTATAAAAATTCAAGAAATGGAGGAGATGGAGCATATCACCTATCATCAGAAAGAAGTTAATAAGCTTTTAGTCCTTGAGCTCCAGAGTACAAAAAATACTGAGGCATGAAACTGAAAGCACTGTAAAATCTCCGTGGGCCTCATTTAACTTTACAATTTGCTAATGCCATTCTATGATTTTAAGCATCTTAATGCAGTCCCTTAGGTGTCTGTTTTCTTCCTCTGAAGAATTCATGATCTGTCATTTCCCGGCATCACAGGAAGCTGCTTTGTTGTGGCAGTATGATCTACCGAGGAAAATGCTACTGCTGGATGACTGGAAGTTTTTCAAACCTGTGATTTTTAAACAGGGAAGGCAGGAAACAGGAAGAATTTAACTGTGGAGCACAGTATTCCCAAGGAACCAAAGAATAGTCACTATGCCAAGAAACAACTGTGACTTTTGTTTAATGTTAAAATCAGGTATAACAATTGTGTGCTAAATGAATACACATAGCTAATTCAGATGGTATTAAGAAAAGAATATTTGAATTGATTTGACTTCTTTACTGCTGCACAATATCTGCATAGTATTTTGTCAATCTTGAAAGCACCCTGAATTAAAGTACATATTAACTATTTACATGTAATTTCTTAGGTGTCTCTCCTACAAGGAAATATAACCGTCCACAGGTAATCTCAGTCTCTTCTTCTGGGCTGCAGTTGTTCTAGTTGGGATGATGGGCAGCCTTGACTGCATTTTACCCTTGAAGGAGAGGTTATTTTAAATGATTGCTGGTAAGTTTATAATTCCAAGTAATAGTTCAACTTATTTTTTTCCTCCTCTGAATGGAAAATTGCGCCCCAAATATACTTTGTCACTACTGAAAATCTGTAAATTGACGCATAAAACTAAAGTCACTTTGGCCTAAGAGTGGGAACAACACTGAAACTAGCTTGACAGAACGTACCTCTTAGAAGATTCTGGCGCTTCTTTAAAACAGACAGCTAATTTTGAGCTAAGGGAATTGAAGTGAAGCTCTACATGGAATTTTCCAAATCAATTTTCCAAATCAATAAGGAAAACCTGCCAAAAGCCATTTGTACATTTTTCTTGTATAAACAAAAGCTTAAAACTTAAGGCCATGGGAATCGGGGTCGAAGGGAAAGGAAGAGAATGGGACAAAAACAGGATTGGGGATTTTAGCTCAGTGGTTCCGCCACCTGCCTTACAAGCTCAAGGGTTCAAGTTCAACCCCCCTACCACAAAAAAAGGGAAAAAAAGAAGAACCAAGATATATCATTCACAGGTACAAATTCCCTATGATGGATGTTATCACTACACGTATATCTAAAATGTACCAATGTTTTGCTTCAAAAAAAAATCCTAAGGCTGTTTTCCACATCTTTTAATTCCAATAAGTTAGTTATAACCTATTATTTATTTTGGTTTAATGTTTATTTATTCTCATTTATGGAGCTATTGAAAAAAGAGAAGAAAGTACTGAACTCCTCACCCTTGGAAGATTTCTCCTCTTTCTGTTTGCAACTTCTCCAGCTCGGAAAAGTTTCCATTCAGTTAAAGTGACAGGCAAAGTGGTATCCTTCGTAAGCTTTGACCGTAAGTAAGTTTGGGAGTTCTTCAGTTCTATCGTCTTCCGGTGAAGGAATTGTGGTTTGTGAGGAAGCTAGAACAGAAAATTTTGGGTGAAGGTAAGATCATCTAGTCAACATCTGTGTTTTCATGCAAAGTCAAAGCTATCCCAGGAAAATATTTATCTTTCCTTTCCTTTAAAATAATCTCAAATGGGGATACCATAATTTCTTTCTCATCACTGGTAAAGTAAGCTGCTCAGTTTTAGAATTCAAAGTTCGGCTACAACGGTAATCAACTTCCTAGAGAACAACAGCTCATAATCTTCACAACTCAAGCCAAGGGTTTCAATATTTTCAGGGACGGGGCAAGTAATTTAGGTCACAGGCTGTCGTGAACTTATATAATAGTGTCTCTTTGTTTTGGCCCCAATTATATCCTCTTAACTTTTTTTGTATATAACATAAACAAGACTCTAATGTGTTTCCAATCAATGCTGTAGCTATACCTTGGGTGTTCTGAAAGCACTTTTAGGGGGTGGCAGCTTCCATGCTGAAGGTGATCTCCACAAGGGCAAAGGCTGTACTGGAATATCTTCATAGGGATTTTCTTTGGTGGGAACTTGAAAAATATCAAAAAATGCTTAGAGGAACACAATTAAATGGAGATATTGCCACTAGCAAATGAAATTTAAAAACTGACTATATTCAAGTTTCTTATTCTTCACTGCTGCAGCGATGTTCAGGACCTTGCACTTGTAAGGCAGGTGTGGTGTCACTGAGCTAAATCCCCAGCCCAAGGGATGTGGTTCTTAAGATAAAGTTTATAAACCACTCAGGTGTTGAACCAAGCTAAAATAATTTTCAAAATACTATACCATATAAACACTTTTGAACTTAGTAGTACACTGCACTTGTTGTAAAATTCACTACAGAATGAAAAAATTTGTACACCAAAGGTATCTATATTACAAGACAAATATAAATCAAGGAATATTTGGTTATAAAAGAAAATACTATACTATAATTAAAGGCATCATTAAATACGTATTCATCAAATTTAATTGCAAAGTTGTGTACACCTACATATGACATCTTCATAGATATTATCCTCTGATTGTGTGTAATAAAGTGCTGAACCAGAATTTCTCCCAAGTTCTTCATGAATCTTCTGTGAATTCCGATTTCGAAAGTGCTGAATATCCTCAAATTCAAAGGATTTCCTTAGGAAAGGCGATACAGTTTAATGTTATATCTTTCAAAACACTAATCTTTAAACAGAAACTGAAAAGTAAAGGACTTGAGTCCAAAATCACAAAGGGGTTCTTATCAAAGATGCAAGAATAAACTATACTGGTATAGGGCTATAAACTGAGTAGGAAATCAGAATTGATTTAAAGAAAATACTTACAAATCATTTTGGTAAAGATAAAGCATACCTTTTAGATCTCCCTCTAATTTTTCCACCATATTTCTTTGGTTCAGGTTCCTGAGAAGAGGCCAAAGAAGATTCTGCACAAGAATTATTTTCACAGCATTTTTTGTCACAGTTTCTTTCTTTATATGGCACAACACCAGATTCAGACAAGTATCTGAATGTCCTACGTGGTTTTGGCAAAGGATTTATAGAAGGTCCACATTCTTGACCCTCAGGTTCAGAGTAAATATTTTCTAAGCTCTTGGTTATTCCATATGAATTATTTAGAACACTACAATTCAGTTTTTTTTCTGAAGGGCCACAATGTTCTAGAGCCAAATTTATGACTTTATCTGGGGGAAGTGCTTCTATTTTCTTCCACAATATTTGTGAGGTATAAAAGTTTCCTTGAGGTAACAAAGTCTCTTGACCTAACACAACTTCTTTCCAGCTTTCAATTTGTTTAACCTTTGAACATACCCAATTGGATTCTGATTCATTTTTAAATATGTGTGTATCGTAATATTCATGTTTCTCATCTTCATCCTCACTTAGATCATGGCTTTTGATCATATCTAAACCCACATTTTGAGAGTTGGCTACTCCCAACTTTTTGTTCTTTCCCTCAGCAATAGGAGTCTTCTTAGGAAGAATCTCTTGGTGACAGTTGTATCTCACTCCAAAGTCCTTTGGATGCCACTTAGCTGGACTAGATGTACCATTAGTCCTCCTTTCCCACTGAGAAATTTTTTGTTTGATGTTTCTGCAGTGGCTTCTTGACAGTGTCTGAACAGCAGAACGAGAAAAACCAACATCCATGTTCCCAGATGGGTGCATGACAAGTGATGATTCTTATAAAGGCACCATTACAAGTGACAGTGAAATACTGTACACTGTATCCTGTCAGAAGTGGAATGATTCCAGTACCTTTCTTTCATGTTTAACTTGGTAATGTCTTTTTAATTTTGATCACTGATCTTCATTGAAAATGGCTGCAACTGTATCTTGAATAATCCTATTAAAATGAGACAAAAATGTTAACACAGTTTATAATTTCTTAAGTTAAATGTCACTGAAAACACTGCTCACTTATCCCAAAACAATTAATTTACACTGCAGAAGTTAAAATGTGCCTGAAATTCAACCCATAAAGGTAGTCCTAAGAGTGATATAATACTGAGAAAATATTACTTGTGACATTTTTCAAACTGTCATGTTTAATATTCTGCCTACATAATTTCTTAAGTTTAATAAGTAGAATGAGGGTTTATAAGAACTACCTACAGCAGCATACAACATTATTTTATAATAAATAAATTCTTTTTGTTTATTTGTTTGTTTTTGAGACAGAGTCTCACTATGTAGTGCAGGCTGGCCCTGAACTCTCCATTATCCTCTGCCTCATCCCCCAAGTGCTGGGATTACAGATGTGCACCACCACACCCAGCTTATAATAAACCAATTACTTATGGAGCTTTCTCTTAATCAGACAAGGGCCAATGGAGTATTATCAAAAGCACACATATATAGACATACATTGACTAATCAAGAAGCTCATGTACACATCCACAGCAAGAGGCAGTTAGTTTATAAACATACCAACACGAAGATAATTCCTTATTTTATGTTGACAGATACTATTAGTCTATCACATACCCTTACTTCAACTCTACTATTAGTAGTTTAGGATTGCAGACAGCATGCTAAAGAGAAACCAAGGGGCTCATTAACTATTGTTTCTTCAAAATAAAATAGCTATTTTGTCAGTGACTGAAATTCCTACAATTCTACTAGCACATCCTTGACCTGAATATGCAAAAATACTTAGTCACTGTCACATTTCTTCCTTTCACATAGAAGCTTCATTCAGTCAGACCCATAAGCTGTTTCCTGAAATATGAAGTTTAGCAAAAAAACTTTTCCTACCATATGAGTAAAGACTTGCTCTCAAGTTCTATTGTATCCTGGTTATAAATAGCAACTGATTCAAAACTTCCTGAGGTAGGGGGTCATCCTTCCTTGAGCTTTGTCTGTGTGGCCTTGATTAACAAGCAGGAAAATATCTTAGCACAACTCTTGTCAGTACAGCTGACCAAAACTGATAAATACACAACACACACATATGTACACCCAACTTAGTCTTGGCAGAACAAAGTCTCTCCAGGACTTCTGTCAAACTTTCACTTAAGTAATTCCCATACCTCTGGAGAAAAATCAGTTTTGCCAGCAAATAAATTCTGATGATGGTCTGATGCAAAGAAAATTATCCTAAAAACCTTGAGAAAGAAATTAAACTCATACGGGTAGGAAAATCCATAACATTACCAAGCCCCCACAGAACTCTTGATAAAAGACTAATATATAGAATATGAAAATTTAAACAGCTGATATTGATTATAAAACCATTTCCTACTTCTAATGTTGATAGGGAGATTTCAGGGTGTCTATCTGTCTTCACTATGGATAAGAGTTGTTTTCTCTGGCTCCTGGAAGGCTCCTAGCGGTTTCTGTCTTTGCTAATGCTTTTCCTTGGTTAGCATGGTTTTAAGTGTGAATGGGTCAAATTGAGATTTTTTTAAGAAAGGATAACAAGTGCTAGGATTACAACAATTTTTTTAAACTTTAAGACTTTTAGCAACAAATAGCTAAATCTATGGGATTCTCACACAAATACAGATGTGTACTGATGTGTGTCAATGGTAACACAGTAGCATAGAAACATTTAAAACACTCCTAACATAGGCAGGCATTACAAAGACAAATTCTGCTATGCTTAATGTGTTCTGACATGTTGCAGCTTTCATAAAACAAACTATTTAAAAAATAAAAACAGGGCTGGAGATTTAGCTCAATGGTTCCGCCGCCTGCCTCATAAGCACAAGGTCCCAAGTTCAATTCCCAGCACCAAAGAAAGAAAGAAAGAAAAACTTTTAGTGCATTTTAACCACATCTATGACTGTATTGCTAATACAGAAAATCTGGCATAAAATCTGTTGATTTCCCCTGTTCTAATTTTTGCCAAATTAACTATTCCCTCTAAAAAAAATGACATGTCTATTGTCACATATAGGCTGTGAAAAGATCCCATACAAACAATAACCATCATTTGCCAAACAAAAGCTGCCTCAACCACCTCGTGTTTGTCCCTTTAACCTAATTATGTTCCGAGACAACGTGACGCCCAGAACCCCCTGCCCCATGGCACTCCTAGCCTGTGAGATCCTTCAAACCCCATTCCGCACACCCTATTTCACGCTTTCACTTCCGCTATGGGTGGACATTCTACTTTCTAAGTGCTGGCCAGTTGTCAAGTCCTGCATCTTCTGAAATCTCCCTAAATTTAGTCAGCTTACCATAAATGTATTGTCCCTACAGGTTGGTTTTTCAAGTTTGTTTCAATATTTCTAAATGAAACAGGCTGAGAACATCTAAGAACTTCCACAGTTTAAAAAAAATTGTTTTGTTTTGCAAATTGGAAATGGACCAAGAGATGGAGGGAGAGGGGATGGAAAGGAGATGTAACAAGAATTAAGATATGTTATTAAAGATCTAAATATTAAAAAAGAAACACTAAACTTGCTGGAAGATAAATTAGGCAGAACTCTCGAAGACATTGGCATAGGAAAAGACTTTACGAACAAATCCTCAGTAGCACAGAACTAGCATAATGAATCAGCACCTGGGATCTCATCTTATTAAAAAGCTTCTGCACTGCAAAAGAAACCATCAACAGAACTAAGAGACAACCTACAATGTGGGAAAAAATTTTTACCAGCTGCTCCTCAGACAAAGGACTATTATCTAGAATATATAAAGAACTCCAAAAAATCAGGCCCACCAAATATTAAGACCCGATTCAAAAATGGACATCTGAAATGAACAGACATTTCTCAAACAAGTAAAAGCAGCAAATAAATATATGAAAAAATGTTCAACATCACTGGTCATTCGAGAGATGCAGATGAAAACAATACTGAGATTCCACCTCACCCCAAAAGGAATGGCTGCTATCAAGAAATCAACCAACTGACAATTGAAAGAGATACTGTAATACTAATTATACATAAAATCTTTCTGAAAACAGAAGAGGAAATAATTTTCAACTCCTTTTATGTGACAAGAATTATCAGGAAGAGATAGAAATTACAAGATAAGAAAACTATAGAACCCTGTAACTCATGACCAACTGGGAGAAAATATCTGCAATATATACAATATATATTAATTATTATAACTGCATAAACACCACAATTAAAATATGTGTAGGCAAGCCAGGCCTAATGGCACTTGCCTGTATCCCAGGAGAATGATGCTGTAGGATCACTGTGAGTTTGAGGTGAGCCTGAGCTACCTAGTGAGTTCAAGGTTGGCCTGAACCGCAGAGTGAAACGCTGTCTAGAAACAAACAAAATAAAAATTTGTAAGACATAAACAGACACTTAACAAAAGATTTATAAGCCAGGCGTGGTGGCGCACATCTGTAATCCCAGCACAGGTTTTGATCAGAAAATCTAAAATAAGATGTTATACAACTGTATTTTGTATTTTTTTTGTTTTTGTTTTAATAACACCAGGGATTGGAGCTTGGGCCTCACGCAGGCTAGACAAGCACTGTACAACTGAGCTGATCCCCAGCCCCATACTGTGTCTCTGTGTTTACTGGTGATCACAAAAGGCCTTGCTCATGCTAAACTAAGCCCTACCTCTACCCCCAGCTACAACTATATTCTTAAACAAAATTATGAGGTTTCTTCAGTGATAATGCATTCAGCCCCCAAGGAATCTTGCCCTATTTATTGTTTTCAAGCTTAAACTCTTAGCTCTTCTTTTGTCCTGGGAAAAGAGAAGTAGGTGCAGATGTCTATATTTAAAATATCAGTTTCAGGGCCAGGGATTTGGCTCAGTGGTTCTGCCGCCTGCCTCGCAAGTGCGAGGGCCAGAGTTTGATCCTGAGTACCTACCTACTTACATAAATAAATAAATAAAATAAAATATCAGTTTCAGGTTTGGTTCCAAAGTGATTGTTTATTTGAAGAAAATAGTTGCCAAAAGGATTTCAGCTCCTTAGCTACTAGAAGGAACAGAGCCAAATGGAAACAGAATCATTATGGGTGTCATAAAGACAACACTTCAGGAAAGAGATAAAATCTCTGGGGGGGGGAATGACTCCTCTAAAAAATAATCTCCATTGATTAAAAAAAAAAAGTAGCCTGGGACCAGGAGTTTAGTTCAGTGGTGCTGCCTGCCTGCCTGCCTCACAAGCAAAAGGTCCCAAGTTTGATCCCCGGTGCCCAACATGCAAAAGGTAGCCTAGTACAACACACAGAGGGAAAGAGAACCAATGTTTACTTTATGCTTGCAGTGTGTAACATACTTCAAAAAGCATTACAATCCTCCCTTCAGCCCTATAAAGTAGACAGTAGTCTCTATGCCACATTTTCACTTGCAAAAATGGAAATAAATGACTATTTCATTAGCTCATGGTCCCAATAGCTGGTTAAGTGGGATTCACATCTGAATACGAATATTTTATATACTTTTCCCATACAATATACTATACTGTTCCTCAAACTAAGAGCACTAGCCTAGAAATCAGAAGAAATAGGAGTGAAATCCTAACTCTGCAACTTAATTGTGCAAATTTAGAAGAGCCATTTTACCTTTCTGGATTTGTTTTCTTGCCTGTAAACTTTCATTACTTACTGATTTTTTTGTATTCCCTTTAACATTTCTTGTAGTACAGATCTACTGATAACAAATGTTTTCCACTTTTATTAATCTAAAATAATTATTTCATCTTCATTTTTGGAGAATTTTGCTGGATGTAGAATTCTGAGTTGACAGTATTTTTCTTTAATTAGCTTAAAGTTATTCTTAGCCAGGCATGGTGGTGCACACCTGTAATCCCAGCACTTGAGAGGCTGAGGCAACAGGAGCACTGCAAGTTCGAGGCCAGCCTGTTCTACATAGTGAGTGCAAGGCCAGCATAAAGTGAATAGCATGCCCTGTCTCAAA